AATTGTATTAAGATCGTTTCATAATTGTAGAAGCAAAGTACAACAACGAGCCTGCTTGACCACCTTTGACTTTAACTTTTATCAAGTGTTGGCTGACCGTCTATGACATAATAATAGGGTTTCAATCTTAATCAAGTAGGTAAAGGTAAACCAAAGGGATCTGCTTATTGATTTATTTCCTGACTTATTTCCTAAACTCCTTTAAGCCATGTCAGCTGCCAAAATAATGTCACACCCATCATTAATCACCTTCAATCCTTTAAAATAACCACTTTACATATAAGAGACTTTAAACATATAATATTGTGGAATTTAAACCTTTGACACTCGTTGTGCTGTAGGAAGGAGGGAACATGTAACATGACTTAACAAAACATAAGCAAGCAGGCTGCTGTCGAGGCATCTCCCGATCAGTTGTTGTTGTCTTCATCTTCGAGTGACCATAAGGCTTGGGACAGACGGTCTTATGGGTCTGCTGGGTTTGGGTGACCGTCACGTACTGAGGGACCACTTTGGTCTGGTACTGGGTCTGGTACTGTACTTGGGTCGTGGTAACGTACTTGGGCGTGTACTGGGTCTTATACACGGTCGTGTACTGGAGTCTGGGTCACATAATGGGTCTGTTATTGGGTCTCAAATGTGTACTGAGGACGTATGCTGTCTTAGTGACGTACTGTGTTTGGTGTGGGTCTGGTATTGGGTCTTGACCTGGGTTACGTACTGGACCTCGGTCTTGTAGACGATGCTCTCAGTGACGTATTCAGGAACGTATTTGGTCTGGTACTTGGTCTGAGTATTGAGTTACTGGGTTTTGTAGAGGGTGGGGACGATCTGCTGTTTGTAGACAGTTGTGTACACTGGCACCTGTAGTGAGGTCAAAGTTAGTGGTTTTATAGAACAGGTAATCAAATCTTTAGTCCATATATCTTAACTTGACAAATTGGTTGTATTTTTCTCTGTATCTGAGCTGCACTTTCTGTTTTAGTTTACAGTAATTTCCTTTACACCTGTCCCAGTACCTACCTGTTGGTGCACTGGGTCTGTGGGTGACGTGCTGGGTCTTGGGGGTAGCAGGGTTGTGGTTTAGGGTAGCTGGGCTCAGCCACCACCGCCGCCACCACAGCCAACCACCACCACCACACTGGAAGACATCATCTTGTAAACGAAAAGAATTTGTACCATAGACATCACTAATATGAACAAGCTTAAACACATTCACGTAATATTGGGGAACAGTTTATAATTCACCTTGAGAGGAAGACATTGATGAGAGAGTCACCCTGCTCTTTGAGGATGGGTGACCTCCTGTAGGCTCTAGTGGAGGGAGAGTTGGGAGATGCAAACCAGGAGGTGTTGTATTGCCATTCTTTCTTGATCAGGGAAGGAATGTAAATGATTTAGGAAAATTGTTGTTTGTTTCAAGGATAACAAGATTCAAGATATACATACATACACATACGAGTACATACATACATACATACTTACGAGTACATACATACATACATACATACATACATAATATCCTATCCTGGAATTATTATAGACCGGGAAAAATACGAGGTTCAATAAATAATTATTATTTTATTGGTATATATGGTATATTTTTCAATAGTTGACTCTCCACTGAGCGAACCGCGTTATTGTTATCGTGGTGATGATCTTGTTAAATGAGGACTTCTTCTTCTTCTTCTTCTTCTCCTTCTTCTTCTTTCTCCTTATTTCTTCTTTCTTCTTCTTCTTCTTCATTCTTTCTTCTTCATCTTTCTTCTTCTTCCTCCAGATTAAAGACTATGTGTGTGTGTGTGTGTCATCTCTCTCTCTCTCTCTCTCTCTCTCTCTTTATGCTTCGCTCTAGTGACCTAAACTCCCTGTTTATTAAATCAAACAGAAACCAAAGTAGTTAGCTGCATCCATATTCATTAGTCATTCTTCTATACTCATTAGTTATTCATTAGTTATTCATCCATAATCATTAGTTATTCTTCTATACTCATTAGTTATTCATCCATAATCATTAGTCATTCATTAGTCATTCTTCTATACTCATTAGTTATTCATCCATAATCATTAGTTATTCATTAGTCATTCTTCTATACTCATTAGTTATTCATTAGTTATTCTTCTATACTCATTAGTTATTCATCCTTATTCATTAGTTATTCATCCTTATTCATTAGTTATTCATCCATACTCATTAGTTATTCCTTTGTTATTCATCCATATTCATTAGTTATTCATCTATACTCATTAGTTATTCATATTTTATTCATCTATACTCATTAGTTATTCATCCACATTCATCCCTGCCAGTTGTTGAGACATTATTGTTTAGTCCTTCACTTCATTATTCTCCCGTGAAAAAAAAGAGAGAGAGAGAGAGAGAGAGAGAGAGAGAGAGAGAGAGTAGATGAAGAAAAGTATAACAAACAGCGAATTATAGTATATTTGTCCTTTTAATAGGTAATCCCAGGACACTTTTAATAGGTAATCCCAGGACACTTTTAATAGGTAATCCCAGGACACTTTTTAATAGGAAATTAGGACACTTTCAATAGGTAATCCCAGGACACTTTTAATAGGTAATCCCACGACACTTTCAATATGTAATCCCAGGACACTTATAATAGGTAATCCCAGGACACTTTTAATAGGTTACCTATTGTTGTTTATTCATTATGATTACTGTTACCTGTTACTGTTAATTGTTGTCGTGTATTAGTGTATAGCTCAGTTGATGTATAGCCCAGGTGTTGATGGTATAGCTCAGGTGTTGATGGTATAGCCCAGGTGTTGATGGTGCCGGTGTTGATGGTATAGCTCAAAGGATGGTAGCTCAGGTGTTGATGTAGCCCAGGTGTTGATGGTATAGCTCAGTGTTGATGGTATAGCCCAGGGTGTGGTATGCTCAGGTGTTGATGGTATAGCTCAGGTGTTGATGGTATAGCCAGTGTTGATGGTAGCTCAGGTGTTGATGGTATAGCTCAGGTGTTGATGGTAAGGACTCAGGTGTTGATGGTATAGCTCAGGTGTTGATGGTATAGCTCAGGTGTTGATGGTATAGCTCAGGTGTTGATGGTATAGCTCAGGTGTTGATGGTATAGCAGTGTTGATGGTTTAGCTCAGGTGTTGATGGTATAGCTCAGGTGTTGATGGTTTAGCTCAGGTGTTGATGGTATAGCTCAGGTGTTGATGGTATACTCAGGTGTTGATGGTATAGTCAGGTGATAATATGATAGCTCAGGTGTTGATGGTATAGCTCAGGTGTTGATGGTATAGCTCAGGTGTTGATGGTATAGCTCAGGTGTTGATGAGCGTGTTGATGGTATGGCTCAGGTGTTGATGGTATAGCTCAGGTGTTGATGGTAAAGCTCCAGGTGTTGATGGTATAGCTCAGGTGTTGATGGTATAGCTCAGGTGTTGATGGTATAGCTCAGGTGTTGAGGTACAGCAGGTGTTGATGGTATAGCTCAGGTGTTGATGGTACAGCTCAGGTGTTGATGGTATAGCTCAGGTGTTGATGGTATAGCTCAGGTGTTGATGATATAGCTCAGTTGTTGATGGTATAGCTCAGGTGTTGATGGTATAGCTCAGGTGTTGATGGTAGCTCAGGTGTTGATGGTATAGCTCAGGTGTTGATGGTACACAGATGTAATCAGGTGTTGATGGTATAGCCCAGGTGTTGATGGTAGGGCTCGGTGTTGATGGTAGGGCTCAGGTGTTAATGGTATAAGCTCAGGTGTTGATGGTAAGGGCTCAGGTGTTGATGGTATAGCTCAGGTGTTGATGGTATAGCTCAGGTGTTGATGGTATAGCTCAGGTGTTGATGGTATAGTTCAGGTGATGGTATAGCTCAGGTGTTGATGGTATAGCTCAGGTGTTGATGGTAAGCTCAGTGTTGATGGTACAGCTCAGGTGTTGATGGTACAGCGCAGGTGTTGATGGTACAGCTCAGGTGTTGATGGTATAGCCCAGGTGTTGATGGTATAGCTCAGGTGTTGATGGTAAGGGCTCAGGTGTTGATGGTATAGCTCAGGTGTTGATGGTACAGCTCAGGTGTTGATGGTATAGCTCAGGTGTTGATGGTATAGCTCAGGTGTTGATGATATAGCTCAGTTGTTGATGGCTCAGGTGTTGATGGTATAGCTCAGGTGTTGATGGTATAGCTCAGGTGTTGATAGGTATAGCTCAGGTGTTGATGGTACAGCTCAGGTGTTGATGGTACAGCTCAGGTGTTGATGGTATAGCCCAGGTGTTGATGGTAAGGCTCAGGTGTTGATGGTAGAGGCTCAGGTGTTAATGGTATAGCTCAGGTGTTGATGGTAAGGGCTCAGGTGTTGATGGTATAAGCTCAGGTGTTGATGGTAAGGGCTCAGGTGTTGATGGTATAGCTCAGGTGTTGATGGTATAGCTCAGGTGTTGATGGTTAGCTCAGGTGTTGATGGTATAAGCTCAGGTGTTGATGGTATAGCTCAGGTGTTGATGGTTTAGCTCAGGTGTTGATGGTATAGCTCAGGTGTTGATGGTACAGCTCAGGTGTTGATGGTATAGCTCAGGTGTTGATGGTATAGCTCAGGTGTTGATGGTATAGCTCAGGTGTTGATGGTATAGCTCAGGTGTTGATGGTATAGCTCAGGTGTTGATGGTAAGGGTGTTGATGGTAAGGACTCAGGTGTTGATGGTATAGCTCAGGTGTTGATGGTATAGCTCAGGTGTTGATGGTATAGCTCAGGTGTTGATGGTATAGCTCAGGTGTTGATGGTTTAGCTCAGGTGTTGATGGTATAGCTCAGGTGTTGATGGTAAGGACTCAGGTGTTGATGTATGAGAACTTCCTCCCTCCTACCTGGTGGTGTTCTGCCGTCACGCTGCCGAAGGAGTTCAAGGTATGAGTCGCCAGGGTGAGTTTTGGTTATATCACTCACCTCTAAATAAAGACCTTAGTTTCTGTCGTTGGCTTGTTTGATTAGAAGCATAACGAGGGAATTAATAAAGAGGATATAGTTCATTCGATAATTTATTTCTCTCGGAGTTAAGCGTTTGAGTCTGGCCGATATGATGGTACAAAGAGGATTAGAAAAAGCATTACCTAATGGAAGAGTAAGTTTCAGAATTTTCTTGACAGGGTTTTTATTATACTTTTGGTAAATAGTTTTTTTTTTATATAATACAAAATATAATTGGGGGTAATAGTGAATTAATATGAGATAAAGATGTGATGGAAGACAAGATACAGAATTTTGACTTGGTGTAAAAGTTGTTTAGGTGAAGGGCTGTTGTAAAGGCATCTCTCTCTCTCTCTCTCAGTCGTCGGTGCTCAGTAGCCATAGGCAGGTTTAGGGCACACGGTCTTGTAGGTGTGTTGGGTCTTCACGACGGTGTGGTACTCAGGGACTACTTCGGTCTCGTACTGGGTATGGTACTGCACCTGGGTAGTTGTCACGTATTGGGGCTCGTACTGGGTCTTGTACACGGTCTGGTATTGGGTCTGGGTCACGTACTGGGTCTGGTATTGGGTCTTAGTGATGTATTCTGGGATGTACTGGGTTGTGGTGACGTAATTGGTATTGTATTGTGTGTGGTACTGGGTCTTGACCTGGGTCACATATTGAACTTGGGTCTTGTAGACGGTCTGGGTGACGTACTGGGGAACGTACTGGGTCTGGTACTTGGTCACGTACTCGGTTTGGTATTGGGTTTCGTAGTAGGTGGTGGGGACGATCTGCTGTTTGTAGACGGTCGAGTAAACTGGTACCTGAAGCGAAGGAAAAAAGTCAAATTAAACCCCCCAAAAAATACAACGAATCACCAGGTATATCGACCCAATTAACACACAGGTATATACTCGACAGTTAATTAACCCACCACTCACCTGTTGAACTTGCGTCTGGTAATGGGTGACGTACTTAGTCTTGGGGTAACAAGGCGTCGGTTTGGGGTAGCTTGGGTTAGCCACCACAGCCGCCACCACAGCCAACACCACCACCACCACACTTGAGGATACCATCTGAAGGACACGATATACTTAATACCATGATATACTTAATACCATGATATACCTTCACTGTGTATATCTTCTGACATATTCTACCTACTGTAAGGGCGATAAAGGCAAGATTGTAAAGTATGTATGTATGTATGTATGTATGTATGTATGTATGTATGTATGTATGTATGTACCTTTGTCATACACAAGTGAAAGGAATCACTCCAAAGGAACATTTAATAAAACATCCAATTAATTATCTCGAGATATATATAACCCGGTGAAGAGATGATAATTATCTACCCAACAACGTATTTAATTTATGTGTCACAATTAATCTCCATTTAATGGCTTTTTTATCTGAGTTTCTGTTTGCCTTTTGTGTGTGAGTGTTTAACTCCTTTTATCTCGTGTCAACTCTCTACTATTAATATTATCTCAGTTTAGTTTATTAGAATTACTTTTTTTTTGTTGATCAAACTAGTAAATTAAACTAGATTTTTTTTTTATATAATAGAGACATACGTTCACTGGTATGAATATTAAAATTTATATATGTATAAATTTTACGTTAAAAAAATCTTTTCGATGAGTATTGTAAGATTTGTTTTATTTTATTTTTTAGCTAGAACTTAAAAGCCAGATTATTATTCACCTTGAGGGAGTTGTTTCCTTTACGGCAGACAGCAGGAGACTGATGATGTAGACAATGACGGCGCTTATTTATAGGACCCGAAGGAAGGGGGGATGGGGGCGGGGCTGTTGCTGCTGTTGCTTCCTGTTGATTACCGTGAGGGAGTATTATCACGCTACAGAAGGTCATCAGAGGCGTGAGGAGGGCGGTGGGTGGGTGGTGGTGAGTGGGTGGTGATGAATGGGCGTGGACTTGAGTAATGTTGCTTTATTTTCATTCCTGACTTCTCTCTCTCTCTCTCTCTCTCTCTCTCTCTACGCCCGCCACTCAGAGTCAAGTCAGAGAACACACTTTGGAGTCCCGTTGCTTCAAGGGAACTCACGAACAATAATGGTAGTCAATGTTGCATTTATTTCAGGGCCAGCTTCGTGAGGGCGGGGAGGGTAGGGTATTTTTTTGGGTGGGGGCAAGTATTTTGGGGCTAGATTTTTGGAGGGCTAGATTTTTGGGGGCTAGATTTTTTGGAGGGCTAGATTTTGGGGATTTTTTGAGGGCTAGATTTTTGGGGGCTAGATTTTTGGGGGCTAAATTTTCTTTGAGGGAGAGGGGCTTTTGTCTACTGTATTAATGATTTTAATGAATTGGTTATACACAGACAAACACGCAGACAGAGAGACAGCACACACACACACACACACACACACACACTCACACACACACACACACACACACACACACACACACACACATATTTCCCTTGCCATCTCCAAATATATTACAGAATATAATAAACTTCAATAGTTGTTTTAATTCAGGTTTACGTAGCCTTGTTTACCTTGTTTACACTCGACAAACAAACCAGACCGATTGTTTACCTTAGTGTTGGGAGCAAGAAGGTCCCCATGTGGTGTTTGTAATGGTGATGGAGAGTTCGGTAGTGTTTTCTTTTGTCTGTTTGTGTGTGTGTGTTTTGATTTTCTCTCTCTCACACACACACTATCTATCTATCTATCTATCTATCTATCTGTCCATCTATCTGTCTGTCTATCTGTCTGTCTGTCTCCAAATACCTCTTTCGCGATTTCCTGCACGCTGGATTTTTGCTGTCAGTTCCTCGTTTGACTCCAGCTGTCTGTCTGTCTGTCTGTCTTTCCTCTGTTGACTCCAGGGGTGAGGATTTTCTTGTCTCTCAACCTCCCTGAACCCCTCACCTGTAATTAAGCATCTCAGGTGGCATTGGGGGGGTTACCGTCGCGTTTATGTACTGGTAAAATTAAGATGTCTCTCTGTGTGTGTGCTTGTAACCTTACCTGTATATGTACCTGTACTTGAGTTATTTTCCGTTAGATTCCGTTAGATTGCGTTATATTAGGTTAGATTGCGTTAGATTTCGTTAGATTGCGTTATATTAGGTTAGGTTACGTTAGATTTCGTTAGATTGCGTTATATTAGGTTAGATTACGTTAGATTCTATTAGATTGCGTTATATTAGGTTAGATTACGTTAGATTACGTTAGATTGCGTTATATCAGGTTAGATTACGTTAGATTCTATTAGATTGCGTTATATTAGGTTAGATTACGTTAGATTACGTTAGATTGCGTTATATTAGGTTAGATTACGCTAGATTCCGTTAGATTGCGTTATATTAGGTTAGATTACGTTAGATTCCGTTAGATTGCGTTATATCAGGTTAGATTACGTTAGATTACGTTAGATTGGGTTCCGGGTGCTGGTTTCAGTAAGTGCCGTCTATAGCTGTCGTATCCGCTATCCACTGATGACGTTGCTAAGGTTTTCCACGGAAGGTTCTTTAGTGTTTTAAGAGAAAGATATTGGTAGAACACTTTAACCAGAGCGTGGGAACCAAGGGGCAGCCCTGGGAGTCTGTGTGTGTGTGTGTGTGTGTGCGTGTGTGCGTGTGTGTGGTCGTTAACTGCCGTGAGTTATGAGATCACCTGTGCCTTACTCTGACGTCACCTATGTCTCACTCTGACGTCACCTGCGCCTTACTCTGACGTCACCTATGTCTCACTCTGACGTCACCTATGTCTCACTCTGACGTCACCTATGTCTCACTCTGACGTCACCTGCGCCTTACTCTGACGTCACCTATGTCTCACTCTGACGTCACCTGCGCCTTAGTCTGATGCTATAGGTTGTGTTTACTTATGAGGAAGTGTGAGATTATATGTATGTATACCTGTCCTGAAGCATATGAATACGCACATAAACACACACACACACACACACACACACACACACACACACACACACACACACACACACACACACACACATTTCTATGCTATGAGAGACACATTCCAATGACCAGTTCACGGTCCGGTTGAGGAGGTAAAACACAGGTAATTACAGGTGGTGGCCGTCATCCTCAGGGTCTTATAACTCAAAGTCTTATTTAAATTTTCAGACATACGAATGATACAAGAGAGAGGTTGGTTGTGCAGAGTTTTGTAGTTTTTTGGATTACGTGAAGATTATGAACCTCTCTCAGTTTATTCCAGCTGGTAATTAAACACCTCAATGCTAACTGGTGGGTTAGGTTAGGTTAGGTTCTTCTTATCATACATACATCAGATATAGGCTTCACCTTAAAACTGCGTATGAACAACTTTAGGTTCACGATACTTAATGACCATTTGTGTAAGAAACGACACCTATGTGATATACGAGTAGTCCTTACCTGTACCGACATAGGAAACCACAGCGGGCCTATTGGTCCATACTGGGCAGTCCCGTTTACACCCAACCCCTATTGCTCATATAAGCATCCAACCTATGTTTGAAGCTATCCAGCGTATTCGAGTTAATGATGATGTTTGGTAACTTGTTCCACTCATCCACTACTCTATTTCCAAACCAATGTTTACCTATTTCGCGCCTAAACCTGTGTATCATGAGGGCTTACCTGTGTATCATGAGGGCTCACCTGTGTATCATGTGGGCTTACCTGTGTATCATGAGGGCTTACCTGTGTATCATGAGGGCTCACCTGTGTATCATGTGGGCTTACCTGTGTATCATGAGGGCTTACCTATGTATCATGTGAGCTTACCTGTGTATCATGTGAGCTTACCTGGGTATCATGTGGGATTACCTGGATATCATGTGGGGTTACCTGTGAGATCATGAGGGCTTACCTGCCTATCATGTGAGGTCAAGAACGGAATAGGAGGGTTGTGTGGTAGAGTGTGTGGTGGTGGAGTATGGTGGTGGAGAGTATGGTGGTGGAGAGTATGGTGGTGGAGAGTATGGTGATGGAAGTATGGTGGTGGAGTGTGGTGTGGTGGAGGTATGGTGGTGGAGAGTATGGTGATGGAAGTGTGGTGATGGAGAGTATGGTGGTGGAGAGTATGGTGGTGGAGGTATGGTGGTGGAGGTATGGTGGTGGAGGTATGGTGGTGGGAGGTATGGTGGTGGAGGTATGGTGGTGGAGAGTATGGTGGTTGGAATGTATGGTGTGGTGGAAGTATGGTGATGGAGGTATGGTGGTGGAGTATGGTGATGGAGAGTATGGTGGTGGAGAGTATGGTGGTGGAGAGTATGGTGATGGAGAATATGGTGGTGGAGAGTATGGTGATGGAGAGTATGGTGGTGGAGAGTATGGTGGTGGAGAGTATGGTGTGGAGAGTATGGTGGTGGAGAGTATGGTGATGGAGAGTATGGTGGTGGAGAGTATGGTGATGGAGAGTATGGTGGTGGAGAGTATGGTGATGGAGAGTATGGTGGTGGAGAGTATGGTGGTGGAGAGTATGGTGGTGGAGAGTATGGTGGTGGAGAGTATGGTGGTGGAGAGTATGGTGATGGAGAGTATGGTGATGGAGAGTATGGTGGAGATAATATAATAAAATACTCTATGAATTTTCTCCCTTAAGTCAAACAACAAACCCTTATATCCCCTCTATGTATGTATGTATGTATGTATGTATGTATGTATGTATGTATGTATGTATGTATGTAAATAAAACAAAACATTGGGAATTTCTTTCACTTATCACAACCTAATTTGTCTGCATGAGTTGTGTTTAATGTATAGACAATAATTTCTCTTCTTTCACTACCAATCCTTTATTTATTCATATATTTATTTATTTATTTTATTCATTCATTTATTTATTTATTTTATTTATTAATTCATTTATTTGTCTATTTATTTACATGTATTTATTTATGTACTTATTTTTAATTTTTATTTATTTTTTATTTACATGTAATTTATATTATTTTTTTCAAAGGTATCAATAAGACGATGGATAAAACTGCAATACTTTTATTTATTTTTGGTTCTTCGGTATCACAAAATAGATCATTTGGTTTGAGACTAAGAGTGTGTGTATTAACTTGGGATATAGAGGCACTTGGGATATATAGAGGCACTTTAATAGACACCTGTACATTAATACTTCGGGGATATATACCTGTGAGGATATATATATAGGTAAGAGAAACAAGGGGGATGATATATTTCACCTGTTGATATAGAGTTAAGGGATATATATGCATACTCAATTATTGTGTCTCTTAGTATGGAGAAAAAAATCTGGGGGTTAGTGACCCAAGCCAGCGTAGCCGTAACCATAGGCAGGCTGGGGAGGGCAGGCCGTCACGTAGGCTACTTGGTTCTGTGTGACGGTGACGTATTCGGGTACCACTTCGGTCTGGTAGGCGGTCTGGTACTGCACTTGGGTCTTGGTCACGTACTGGGGCGTGTAGACGGTGGTGTAGGCGGTCTGGTATTTCACTTCGGTCTGGTATTTGGTAGCGTATTGGGTCTGGGTGACGTAGGTGGGAACGTATTCGGATGTGGTGACGTATTGGGTCTCGTACTCGGTCTGGTACTGGGTCTGGTATTTGGTGACGTAGTTAACCTGGGTCTCGTAGGCGGTCTCGGTGACGTACTTGGGCACGTACTTGGTCTGGTAGTGGGTCTGGTAGCGGGTCTGGTAGTGGGTGGTGTAGTGAGTGGTAGGGACGATCTGCTTCTGGTACACTGTCTTGTACACCGGCACCTGTGTATGGTATCAGACAGTGGACGATACAATTTGGTATTAGTCAATAGAGAGAGAGAGAGAGAGAGAGAGAGAGAGAGAGAGAGAGAGAGAGAGAGAGATTAAAGTATAGCATTATTTTACCTCCATGGTATATATGAACACAGGTGAATGACACTTAAATCTCTATACACCTGAGAGACACTAATCACAGGTGGGGTATTATAATAAACAAATAAACATGTAAAATGACAAAAAAATATTAGACACTTGTTATTATTAAGTTCCCCAGAATAAACATCACGCTTCATTTAATACATCTCCCTTGAATCCTTCTTCTAGAATATCCTGCTAAATCCAATATCCTACGCCTTGAGTCCTATCCTTGAGTACTGACCTGCTGCACGGCCGTCTTGATAGCTGTGACGTAGGCGGTCTTGGGGTAGCAGGGGGTAGGAACCGGGTACGAGGGGTCAGCTTCTGTAGTGGCCACAGCAGCCAACATCACCACCACCACCACACGGACAAACCCAGACATCATCTGTAAAGAGGAACCAAGTTGAGTGTGTTGATGGGGAACTGTACTTGTGTTGTGTGTGTGTGTGTGTGTGTGTGTGTGTGTGTGTGTGTGTGTGTGTGTGTGTGTGTTTGTGTGTGTATGTGTGTGTGTTGTGCAAAACCTGTACACACATCAAGCGTAAATCAAAACTACACAATATACTTTTTTTTTTCATTTCAGTTTCAGAATGTTTCACTTTTTTGTTACTATAGATACATAAAGTTGTTGAGGTAGAAACACGGGACGTTTGCTTACCTTTGAGATATGTTGTCTTAGCGATGCAGAGCAAGAAACTGACACTGTGGAACCGTCAACCCCTGTGTTATATACTGTAGGGCGGGGCTGCCACCACCTCCTGTCCTCCCGGTTTAAGTGCCTCCGGAGTCCTCCCGCAGAAGGTTATCCACGCGTTGAGGACCCCCACCTACCTACCTACCTCTACTCGCGCTCTTGTTGCAGCTTTTCATCATTATTTCCAATCTCCGGCGACTTTGGGTGTGTTGCTAGCTCGACGAGACACCGCTACCTCAAGGTCACAGACAACCATGCTGCCATCAAGTGTCATTTGAGAGATTCTTAAGAAGAGTGAGAGGACAGAATTTTAGGTTCACGGGGATGATTACCGCTGTCTCAGGTGTGCGTGTGCGTGTGCGTGTGCGTGTGCGTGTGCGTGTGTGTGTGTGTACGTGTGTGGTTATGAAGGAATTCTTGCGGGTGGAGTATGACTGAGTTGTGGGCTGAAAGCTTGACAACGACGCAACTTGACTATGAGGGCGGAACCTTTGTAATGAGGGACACGACTCTCTCTCTCTCTCTCTCTCTCTCTCTCTCTCCTCTTCCCGCCGCTGTTGGCCACATCTTGCGGTGAATTTGTGGCCTTCTTGAAGACTCCCGAGAATCAATTAGAGCTCCTCATTAAAGCTTCTGAAATTCCCACGGGAGACAGAATCCGGAAAAGAAGTGATACAGGCAATGACTCGAAGTTCGTAGACTGTTTCGTTGTCGGTGTTTCGTTGTCGGTGTTTCGTTGTCAGTTTTTCGTTGTCAGTGTTTCGTTGTTTCTGAGATAATTACAAGTTGTCATTCGGTTCTGAAGTACTTAATCATATTGGAGTTCTGTGGGTATGTGTGGGTATGTGTGGGTATGTGTGGATATGTGTGTCTGGGTGTCAGTTTGGGTATGTTTGGGTATGCGTGTCTAGGAGTCAGTATCCTGCGGGAGCGTTCAGGACTCATCATCTATACGGTCTAACTCCCGGCTGAGAGGGTCCATGCTCTCTACCATGTCTGAGTAGTAGTCCCGCTGAGGCCGTGTGAAAGGGAGAGTGTCTGAGGGTCTCCTTCAATTTCAACAGTTTCAACCGATTTTTTAACCGTTTCAACCGTTTTTTAACCGTTTCAACCGTTTTTTAACCGTTTCAACCGTTTTTTAACCGTTTCAACAGTTTTTTCCAATTTCAATGGGTTTTTTTTCAATTGCGGTGATATATAACACTACTGTTTTATTATTATTTATTGTTTGTTGATACACTCGTTTAAGTCTCTCATTAACACTGTTCTTTATCATAACAAACACCATTTTATCTGTCGGAACAAAGAAACAAAAACAACATATTTTCCTCCGTGGCCGTCACTTGCCTACATAAATCACCTATAAAAACATACGCGTGTAGTGTAGTGTAGCTGTTGTTATTGTTCAGTGTATATGTAGTGTAGTTGTTATTGTTCAGTGTAGTGTATGTGGCCATGATGTACTCGTACTGGGTATATCATTATCACAAATCATGTCCAGAACAAGTGGTAGTTTATTCACAGTTCCTCAATGATCAAAGTCTTTTCCCTCCACCGCGACTCAAGGAAGCTCCCATTGTCTGCATTCTTTAAGTCAACTCAGCTCACATTCCTGCCTGATTACGCGGATCTGATTTGGCAGTTTTACGGTTTGGTCAGGTAATACACTTATCGGATGGGTTCAATAATAATCAATTATTTCCTTTCATATTTTTGAGGATTTTTTGTTGTTCGTTTTTGCTTCTATTCAATTTATTTTATTTTATTGATTATATCATTCAAAGGTATGTATGTATCAAGACACTCGCCTCGCAAGTGAGTGGACCCGGATTCGATCCCCGGGCAGGGTGAAACTATGGCCAAGTTTTTTACGCCATTTGCCTCTGTCTACCCAGCAGTAATTGGGGATCTGGATGTTAATCGATTTACGGATCGTGTTCCGGGGTAATGGTTAGCCAGTGCAGTTGGCGAGTTGTCCGGTCTTCTCGGACTATTCCTTGACACTGGGTCATGCAGCTCGTTAACTTGGGGTGTGGTTGTTGTGTACGCGACAGCTTCTGCACCTTAACAAATTCACGCCTAGGTAGCCCTTGGGCCGGCCTTCATCGATCTCAATGGGCTTCCATTATTATGTATGTATGTATGTATCATGTATGTATGTATGTATGTATGTATGTATGTATGTATGGATGTATTTCGGTTAAGTCTTTTGTTTTTTTCATAAGTTAAAAAGTTATGCCTCCTACCACCTCATGCATCCACCCACCCACCCACCCACTCACCCACCCACCCACCCACTCACCACCCTACCTTACAATCCCCCACCCACTAACCAGCCACCCTATCCCATACCATCTTGCCCACCCACTCACCACCCTATCTCACATTACCCCACCCACCCCACACACACACCAGCCTACACACTACACCCTGTGGCCGTGAGTCAGTAACCATTGTGAGAGAGTAACAGTTCTGTAGTGTTGTCACATTTTATTTTGCCAGCCTTGTTTCGCTGTTTTTATTTACCCTTTCGTTTTTTTTACAATTTACACCTGTTACTGTAGAATTTTTTTTTACAATTTACACACCTTTATATATCGTGTTTTTTGTATTATTTACATACCTATTAAGCTGTTTTATATACAATTTATTTTATAATTTACCTTAGTTTATATAGTAATTTAAATATTTTACAATTTACACTCTTACTTTATCGTTTATTTTATTATTTACATAACTATTATTCTGCCTTTGTTAGTTAGTTAGTTTGTTTGTTTGTTTGTTTGTTTGTTAGTTTGTTAGTTTGTTGGTCATTTTACAGGATTATTTGATTCAAGGTTGTTTTTCCTTTTAGTTTATCTATTCAATATTATTTATCAGTTTATTCATTTAATTATCTGTTTATTTGCTCATATATCTGTGGTTTATGTGTGTGTGTGTGTGTGTGTGTGTGTGTGTGTGTGTGTGTGTGTGTGTGTAATAATAATAACAATAATAATTAACGGTTTATTGAAAAAGTCCTGCAGCCCGAAGGCTGAAAATATACATTGGACATAAATGACTTATTACATACATTGGTGGTTTAACAAAAGCTTTCATTAGAGAAAGGTAAAGGAACATACAGTGAACATACAGATTAATGTAGGTGTTGAACAGCAAACACGTAGTGTAGTAACTCCCTCCCAGATAGTGTTAGGAGGGACCTCACGTGATGTAGTAGTTCCCTCACAGATGGTGTTATGAGGGACCTGACGTGGTGTAGTAATTCCATCACAGATGGTGTTAGGAGGGACCTGACGTGGTGTAGTAGTTCCCTCACAGATGGTGTTATGAGGGACCTGACGTGGTGTAGTAATTCCATCACAGATGGTGTTAGGAGGGACCTGACGTGGTGTAGTAATTCCATCACAGATGGTGTTAGGAGGGACCTGACGTGGTGTAGTAATTCCATCACAGATGGTGTTATGAGGGACTTCACGTGGTGTAGTAATTCCCTCACAGATGGTGTTATGAGGGGCCTGAAGTGGTGTAGTAATTCCATCACAAATGGTGTTAGGAGGGACCTCACGTGGTGTAGTAATTCCATCACAGATGGTGTTAGGAGGGACCTGACTTGGTGTAGTAATTCCATCACAGATGGTGTTAGGAGGGACTTCACGTGGTGTAGTAATTCCCTCACAGATGGTGTTATGAGGGACCTGACGTGGTGTAGTAATTTCATCACAGATGGTGTTATGAGGGACCGGACGTGGTGTAGTAATTCCATCACAGATGGTGTTATGAGGGACCGGACGTGGTGTAGTAATTCCATCACAGATGGTGTTATATGAGTGAGGTGTGGTCCCAGGCCTTCCTATTGTAGACGCATTAACATATCGCTGGTTGTTGCTGGGTCTCACGGGCAGTTATCACTGGGTACCTGGGACCTCACTGTGTGAAAGTTAACTTGGGTACGACTCAGCTGTTACTGTTGAGTTGTTCTCACTGACTTAAGCACTGTTCACCACTGTTCACCTCTGTTCACCTCTGTTTAACACTGGTTCCATTCCTTTCCTAAATGAAATTGTAACTTCTGGCGAGAATTTGTTGATATTCCGGTGGGGAGGAGGGGTTCAGGGGAGGGAGTTGGTATGGGCCAACATAACAGTTGACCTGGCTGCTCCCAGAGGAGCGCCAGGTACGTCTTGACCCTTTGGTGGTCGTATAATGTCGTACCAGGTCATATCAGGTCATAACAGACAGCAGATCGTACCAGGTAGTACCAGGTAGTGTCAGGTAAGAGTGATAATCTTGCTCAATGTTCGGGATTCTGGATATAAACAATGTGGCTGTGTTTGTGGCAGAGTTGAAGTGTGTGTGTGTGTCGGGGGCTGTGACGTGGCTGTAAATATTTGCTTAACATATTAGAGACAGAGAGAGGGAGAGAGAGACAGAGAGAGAGAGAGAGAGAGAGAGAGAGAGGGAATAAGAACATAAGAACATAAGAAAATAAGGAGTCTGCAATAGGCCGGTTGGCCTGTGCATGGCAGCTCCTGTCGAGAGTTACTACCACTCTCTATCATCCATGAATCTATCCAGCCTCCTTTTGAAACTTTCCAGCGTTCCAGCACTTACTACAAAGTTGCTGAGCTTGTTCCACTCATCCACCACCCTATTTGTGAACCAGTTCTTTCCTATCTCCCTCCTAAACCTAAACTTATCCAACTTGAATCCGTTGCTACGAGTCCTACCCTGCTCGGATATTATAAGAACTTTATCTATATCCCCTTTATTGATTCCTATCACCCACTTAAATACTTCTATCATATCTCCCCGCACTCTTCGTCTTTCTAGAGAATGCAAGTTAAGTTTCTTTAACCTATATGTAAAAGTGAGAAGGGTATGGTGGTTCAGGTGTGGTGGTTCAGGTGTGGTGGTTCAGGTGTGGTGGCTCAGGTGTGGTGGTTCAGGTGTGGTGGTTCAAGGTGTGGTGGTTCAGGGTGTGGTGGTTCAAGGTGTGGTGGTTCAAGGTGTGGTGGTTCAAGGTGTGGTGGTTCAGGGTGTGGTGGTTCAAGGTGTGGTCAGGTGCGTCAAGGTGTGAGATTACGCAGGAGGGTTGAGGGTGGGGATCGAATCAGCGGAGCCAAGATTCAGGTTAGAGTCGAAGAACCACCGAGCCATGGATCGCCTTGAGCCCCCCCCTCCCCGCCCCCCACAAGGTCAAGGCAGTAGCGGCAGGATCACTAGGGCGTGGTCCTCGGCTAAGCTGGTAATTCTATACGCCTGCATGTGCAATCACCAACGCCTGTCGATTGCCCCTCTAAACTACTGACACATATGAGGGTTGTCTGCTCGCCTCCAGGGAATGTTGTGCCAGCAAAGGCAATGGACTTCGCCTGACGTTTCTTTTCCAAGGTCACTTCCTCCTGCTGCTGCTGTTGCTGCTGTATCGGTGACCTGTGATGGCTGCCTTGTGTGTGCCTTACCTTAACATGTAGATGTACACATATATACACACAGCCACACGATACACAGCCATGGACAAACAAATACGCACAGTCACAATTCACACACACACACACACACACACACACACACACACACACCTGCTCTCACGCAAATGCATTGTGAAAATAGAACAGTGACAACTAAGAATCAGTGTGTGTGTGTGTGTGTGTGAGTGATGGTCATGCTCGGTGGACTGGAATGATAGTGAATCATACTGTACTGAGTTATTGTAACACCTTACCTGTTCTGTCCCACTACCTGTGTTGGAGTGGGGGAGGGGGGAGGGATTGAGGGAAGGGGAGTGGTGAGGAAAGACGGATCGAGGGAAGGAAGAAGGAAGGGTGGGAGGGAGGGTGATGAGGAAGGAAGGAAGGAAGGAAGGAAGGAAGGTCCGTCATATCATTCACGTTCATATCTTATTTCTTTACACAATATCAACATTAACGCTATAATTATTCACTTCTTCACTCGCCTCATTCATCATCGTCTTCTTTATTCATTAGTTATTATCATCCATTAATCGTCTATTTTATTATACATTATTCATTGTTTCTTGTTTTCTCTGTTTTTATCTGTTTATCATCTGTTTTTTTGTGTTGACTTATCGTCGTTTATCATACACCATCTTTATTCCTTTTTCCTCTTATATTTTTGTTCATTTTGTTGTTTATTTATTTATTTTATGTTATTATACACCATCGTTTATCATCGTGTGTTTTATTTTCTTCGGTTTTATACATTTATACAATATCATCATTCATTGTTTGTTTATCGTATTCATTATATATAAACATTATCTTCTCTCTCTGTTTAGTCAAAGGTAAACAAACTGAGTAAACAAGGCTAATTAGTGTTAAAGGTAAGCAGAGTAAACAAGGCTAATTAGTGTTAAAGGTAAACAGAGTAAACAAGGCTAATTAGTGTTACAGGTAAACAGAGTAAACAAGGCTAATTAGTGTTACAGGTAAACAGTAAACAAGGCTAATTAGTGTTAAAGGTAAACATATAATAGTTCCTTTAAGCTATATTAGATATATTCGCTATAGTAGGTATAAAAGAAAGTATATATACCAGTTACATAGTGCTATATTGCCATTGATATATAACAATTATGGTAAAAAATCCAATATGACTATTATTAAATTACATACATGAGACAACCATTAAAATAATACAGTAAATTTAGAAATAGAGAAATAATAAAAAATAATTATAAAAAGTTAATTGATATTTACATATAATTTGATGTGTTGAGTTTAATTAGTTAATATTTCTAGTTAAGGAGATATTAGTTAGTGTACAAAAGGTTAGGTTAGGTTAGGTTAGATTAGGTTAGGTTAGATTTGTGTAGAAAACTTTATACAGCTATTTATATCATTGGAAAAATACCCACAGTTAGGTTAGGTTAGGTTAGTTTAGTATAGGTTAGGATAGGTTAGGTTAGTTTCTTCATTGTAATCCCACTGTAGCAGGAAATAGAATACATAAAAATACGTAAACATCTCCTATAATGGGATTTATTTAAGTGGCATAATTTTCGAGGCAGTATATTAATTTCCCTAGTTAATTATATATAAGTATGATAGTATAAGCATCTCTATGTATGAGTGTATAAGTATCATTCTCGTATACATCCTAAAAGAAAGAGAGAGAGAGATTTCGGTCGTGATTTTAAAAGATTCGTATGTAAATTTTTTTGAGTGTCATAGGGGCTATAGGTAGTATTTTGGCTATTGTTAATAAGCTTTTGTTTGTCTCAGTGGGATTTAGAGTCCATTTTGGGTACTGTATATATGCCATAGCTTAAATGAACCAGTTGGACTTTTTGTTTTCAAATAAATTCCAAAGGTTAATCTTGTTCTCACCTGGGGGATCTGACACCAATTACCTGTGATAATTAGTCGCTTACCTGGCCAATTGATAATCTAATCCCCTTTTTAAGTGTTTTCCGGCACTTGTAGTTTAAGTCGCGGCAGAGGACATTTTAAGGGGGAATTGGTTCTTTAAATATTGTCTTAAAATTGGGTTCTATAGATGTGTTAGTTGGATGTAGCCTCGAGTCTACAGTTAGAGGAAGGGAAGGGAGGGTAATAGGGAAGGGAAGGGAGGGTAATAGGGAAGGGAAGGGAAGGGAAGGAAGGGGAAGGAAGGAAAGGAAGGGAAGAGAGGAAGGAAGGAAGGAAGGGAAGGGAAGGGAAGGGAGGGTAATAGGGAAGGGAAGGGAAGTAAGAGGGTAGGGAAGGGAAGAAGAACTTTAACATACGAATCTTTGTGAATCTAGAGGTTGTCGAGATACGTGTTGCGGGTAGTTGACTCTCCGGGAGGTATTCATTTAACCATAGGCTGGCTTGGGACACACTGTCTTATACGTCTTGTGGGCCTTGGTAACGGTATGGTACACGGGAACGAGCTGGGTCTGGTACTGGGTGTGGTACTGAACGTAGGTCGTGGTGATGTACTTGGGTTTGTATATGGTCTCGTACACGGGTTGGTATTGCACTTGGGTCCTGTATTGGGTTTGGTACTGGGTTTTGGTGATGTAGGTAGGCACGTATTGGATTTTGGTAGCGTACTGGGTCTGGTAATCGGTGTGGTAGATGGTCTTGTATTTGGTGACATACTGAGCGTGGGTTTTGTACACGGTTTTGGTCACATACTGCGGTACATATTGGGTGTGGTGGCGTGTCAGATGCTGGGTGTGGTGGTGGGTGTGGTATAATGTTGTAGGGATGTACTGTTGTTTGTACACCGTCTCGTAAACAGGAACCTGGAGATAGATAGAAAGAAAAACAATATAAGATCAGTGTAAAAGATGTATTTTGCAACGAGTCCTAAATCGACTATAATTTTCAGGTTTATTTCAATATTTTACATTTTTTTTAAACACGTGACCTATGACCTGTGACCCTTGAGACACCCCCCCCCCACCCCCCTCCCCTATGTTACTGCTTGACCCCCCACCCCTAATACCTACCTGTTTGACCCACCCACTCACCCTAGTACTTACCTGTTGAACTTGGGTCTGGTATTGAGTGACGTAGAGAGTCTCAGGGTAACAAGGAGCGGGGTAGTCTGCTTCTGCCACCACCACCGCTGCCACTGCCACCAGAACCACCACCACCAAGCGGGCCATTCCTGATGTCATCGTCTGTACCGTGAGGGAGAGAGAGAGAGAGAGAGAGAGACCACATTAGTATGAGTATATGGACTTAAAACATTGATGGGATTTCGCTGTATTTTTAAAGACACACACACACACACACACACACACACACACACACACACACACACACACACACACACACACACATAAATCCCAGACTCATAAACGACTCTTGCGTGCATTAAAACAGTACAGGTGAACGAGTGAGTGTCAAGATAACTGTCATATTTTATGTCATGTCACCGGTACTGTCATAATCATGTCTTACAACACTTGTCACATATAGAACCAACTTACGTAATATTAATCTAAAAAGAAATCTGTTTTTATCATTATTATTATTATCGTTTCGGTCATCCAGTGAATTTTTGAATTTTAAGTTTAGGTTCGGTTGGGTTTGGTTGGCGTGGGGTTGGGTTGGGTTAGGTTGGGTTGGCGTTGGGTTGGGTTGGGTTGGGGTTAGGTTAGTTTGGGTTAGATTAGGTTAGGTTAGT